TCTTGTCGTTTTTAAACCGTATTATTGCAGTTCTCACGTCGTATTGTTCTAGCGAAAGGGCGTGAATACCACCCCTAAAAGTTTTGCCGGGTTCTTTTTCATCAATTCAGAAGGCTTAAGATGTGTGCTCATACTCTTGTCAGCAGTAACTAGATTTACATCTTTGTCTCTGCAAGAATCAGCCCCCGACATAAAACTAGTTGACTGCTACATTTCTTCGGATAGAATTATTGAGCCCCATTTTTTAGTACTACAGCTTATCACCAAGGAACACAAAATTTACACTTATAGTCATATTCTCCAATAATGTATGAGTTTCCAATATAATTGGCTCGTGATCACTCAGAAATCCACGGATGGATTTGATGAAGAAATATTTCATGCAAAATTCGGATTTTTTTTTTATTTGTAAAATCTTGATTGAGCGCCTTATTCTTATTGCCTTTTATTCTGTCAAAGTAAAAAGAAAGTGTCATAAAATCGCGTTTTGCCACTTTAAACTCAAAATGCCACAAAAACTAGATCCAATACTTAGTGCACATTTTGATTCCATGTACAATAAACAATAGACTCGGGTTTCTGCACTAGACTGCAAAAATGTTGTTGTGCTGTGTAACTTTTGTCTACATAAATATATACATAAGTGGATACATATTTTTTTTTTGTAACAGAAAGTCAGTGGTAATATTATATTTTTAGATTTGGATTTTTTACTAAATTATAGAATAAATCAAAGCTCGAAAATAACTATTAACCGAAAAACCAATTCGGTATATCTCAGATGCCTGTCATATTACGCAGCGACATAAAGGTTTCTCTGGGGAGAGATAAACAATTGCGCGCATTGTTACGGTTCGCAACTGAGATTTAGATATGAGCGATTTGGATATAATTTTTCATATAACAGTTTATAACCTGAAGTGAAATGTGGTGTATTTTGGAATCCGAGTTGCCACGTGTTTAAAAAGTTATATTAAATTAAATTAAAAAGGTAAATTAAATATTGCAATCAAAGCGATTTAAGAAAGCTTAATGTTAAGGGTTTCCACTCGTTAATAATTTAAATTAAATTAATGAATTAAATGAAAGAGATTTAAGAAGGCTTTATTACGACAACATTTTAAAAGAGAGTTGCCACCTGCTTAAGAAGTTAATTCAATTAAATCGATAAGTTAACTGAAATACATGTTACAATTCTAATGGGCCGTATGAATAAAAAGTAAGTAATTGCTTTTGCTTAAAATTTTAGACCTTTTACTTTATTTTATTTGAATAAATCGAGTAAAAGGTCTGAAATTTTAAGAAAATGCGAGTGCCTAGTTTTTATTCATACCGCCCAATAATGGTGTGAAACGTAAGCGATTTGTTCGAAAAAAATTCTGAAAAGTGTTACAAGCTCTTAAAAAAATTTGATTCAGTTAAATTAAAAAGTACTAGAAATATAACAATGCAACGAGACATATTTCGATTGGTTCCCATATTTGATTTAATATTTCAATCTAATTAATTTAATTTAATTTCGCATTTCTCTTAAATAACTAATACATATGGAATTATTTCGTTCGACCTACGGACCTACAGTCTTACGCCAACTTCGAATGGCGATTTATTTTTATGAGAAGCTGTTTTTCATGGCAGAAATACACTCGAATATTTGCCATTGCCTGCCGAGGGCCGACCGCTGTTCAGAAAAAACCTTTATTCTCAATTTTTTAACAATACGTTTTTTTTTTAATTAAATTAAATTTAAAAAAATATATGTTTTTTTCTCTTTAAAACAATAAAAGGAAAATTAAATTAGAAAAAGAAAATCATTTAATAAAAAAAGAAGGAAATAATACTTAAAAATTAAAATAGACTGAAAATATTTTTATTTAAAAAAAAATTAAAAGAACATTGAAAGAAAATAATAAGATCTTAAAAATAAAATAAAATAAAAACTATATTTTTCTTTTTAAAACGATAAATT